GTGCACACTCGCGCGCGCAAGATGAAATCCTTCCAAAACCTTAGTTTGCGTAGCGATTTTAACATACTAACATGAAAAACCCAATGGTTTTTCAAGAAAAAAGTTTCAAACATTCATCCCGCGCGCTCTTGCGGATTTCTTAGGAAACCCAATACTTTTTCAACATTTCTGTCAAACGGGCTCTTGCGAACAACTTTTTCACGTTTTTCGAACTTCTGCAACAACGGTTGCGCGCCTGCCAGGGCCATCACCCCTGTCAAATAATACCATATGGGACACATTCGTTTTTTCTTCGCGCGCGCACGCCGAAATCTTCAAACACCATTGGGTTTCTTAAGAATTTCAGCACCGCGTATCATAAAATTGCACGAATCGCACCGTAGGTCCTCGAAAAACACGTGCACGGATTTTCAAAATTTCTACCCGCGCGCGCTGTCCGAATCCTTAAAAACCAATGGTTTTTCAACATTTATGTTACATGAGCTCGCGCGAGCTACTTTCGCAAGCTCTTTCAACGGCGTTCGCGCGCCTGCCAGGGGCCACAATCCGCCAGTGTAGTAGCCACGCGCCAGTGTAGTAGCCACGGTCGTCCGCAGGCCACGAAGTGAAGTGTCCGAACGTCATAGGGCGGGAAGCTGGGTGTGGGTGGTGGCGAAGAGTCGTTTGGAAATGTGGTAGAGCTTGAACCGGCCCCCCCACAAAGTGGGGGTATTGGCGGGCGTCGTATGAAAACCCTGGCACTGGTGAGAACGGAGTGTCCCCACGTGCTAGTAATTGTTGTTGTTGTTGTTGTTGTTGTTGTTGTTGTTGGACATTATTAATTCTAAAGAATAATTATTGTTGGGACCCCTGGTGAACGGCCCCCCCGCCGCGCCTAGGCCGCAGCTACATTTTCATCATTTTTTCGCGAAAGCTTCAGAAAAGTGGATGGGGTCCAGATCCGGTTGTTTTGTTGTAATCCGTTTTCCCTTGCAAAAAACACTATAAAATGACATTTCTTGTTCTAATATAATCAAATTTCAAGAATCCCTTGCAAAAAATAAGGTAAAGTGGACATTCGCGCGCGCAAGACGAAATCCTTCCAAAAGCTTAGTGTTCGGAGCGATTTTAACATAAAAACATCAAAAAACCAATGGTTTTTCAACAAAAAAATGTCAAAATCTCATCCCGCGCGCTCTTGCGGATTCGTAGGAAACCCAACACTTTTTAAACATTTCTGTCAAACGGGCTTTTGCGAGCAACTTTTTCGAACTTCTGCGACAACGGTTGCGCACCTGCCAGGGCCATCATCCCTGTCAAATAATACCATGCGGGACACATTCGTTTTTTCTTCGCGCGCGCACGCCGAAATCTCCAAAAACCATTGGGTTCTGTGGGTGTGTACCCCACGCCAGTGTAGTAGCCACGGTCGTCCGCACGCCACGAAGTGAAGTGTCCCAACGTCATAGGGCGGGAAGCTGGGTTTGGGTGGTCGCGAAGAGTCGTTTGGATATTTGGTAGAGCTTGTAATGCCCCCCCACGAAGTGGGGGTATTGCCTGGTGTCGTATGAAAACCCTGGCACTGGGGAGAACACCACGCGTTCGGGTAAAATGATTGTTGTTGTTGTTGTTGTTGTTGTTGTTGAACATTATTTATTCTAAAGAATAATTATTGTTGGGACCCCTGGTGCGCGACCCCCTCGCCGCGCCTAGGCCGCAGCTACATTTTCATCATTTTCGTGAGGAAGCCTCAGGTAATACGATGTCATCAAGATCCGGTTGTTTTGTTCCCCCCCGCTGTCCCTTGCAAAAAACACTATAAAATGAAATTTCTTGTTCTAAAATAACCAAACTTCAAGAATCCCTTGCAAAAAATAAGGTAAAGTGGACATTCGCGCGCGCAAGACGAAATCCTTCCAAAACCTTAGTGTTCGTATCCGAACGTCATAGGGCGGGAAGCTGGGTGTGGGTGGTGGCGAAGAGTCGTTTGGAAATGTGGTAGAGCTTGAACCGGCCCCCCCACAAAGTGGGGGTATTGGCGGGCGTCGTATGAAAACCCTGGCACTGGTGAGAACACTGAGCGTTCGGGTAAAATGATTGTTGTTGTTGTTGTTGTTGTTGTTGTTGTTGTGGTTGCTGTTGTGGTTGTTGTTGTTGTTGTTGTTGATATTGGTGTTGGTGTTGATGTTGCATGTTAGTAATAAACCGTTATTGCTAAGGCCTTACGACCAGTGCCGCCGACGTTGGATATTTCGGCCCTCGAGGGTGACGGGATGCGTGGTACGACGTCGGAGGTCAATGAAAACGTGGCGGAGGAGGAGGAGGCGGAGGAGGAGGAGGAAGAGGAGGATGAGGAGGAGAAAGTGGAGCGCGGAGGAGGAGGAGGAGGAGGAGGAGGAGGAGGAGGAGGAGGAGGAGGAGGAAGCGGAGGAGGCGGAGGAGGAGGAGCAGGAGGAGAGAGGAGGAGGAGGAGGAGGAGAGGAGAGGAGGAGGAGGAGGAGGAGAGGAGGGGGAGAGGAGGCGGAGGAGAGGCAGGAGGAGAGGAGGGGGGAGGAGAAGGAGGAGGAGGAGGAGGAGGAGGAGGAGGAGGAGGAGGAGGAGGAGCAGGAGAGGAGGAGGAGGAGGAGGAGGAGGAGAAGGAGGAGGAGGACGAGGAGGAGGAGGAGAGGAGGAGGAGGAGGGAGGAGGAGGAGGAGGACGAGGAGGAGGAGGAGGAGGAGAGGAGGAGGAGGAGGAGGAGAAGGAGGAGGAGGAGCAGGAGGAGGAGGAGGAGGAGGAGGAGGAGGAGGAGGAGGCGGAGGAAAGGAAAGGGGAGGGGGGGGAGAGGGAAGAAAGGGAGGGAGAGGGTCGCCCGGGGGGATGCCTATCTGACCCCCCCCCCGCTCCTGTGGGGAAGGTTCGGAGGGGCTTCGCCACGACTACGAGTTCTTTTGGATTCGTGTTCGATTTTCTTTAACTCGTGGGGCGTCTTGAAAACGTCTTGGGCCGTCTGGAGACTACTTGGGCGTCTTGGACCGATGGCCCGGCGATTCGGCACCCTCTGGGACCGTCTGGGCGGCTTCTTGGGGCACTCTCGGCCCCTGTGAAGCTTTTCTAGGTCCCGGGATTCCATTTTCGTGTAGCGTGGCGCCCCCCCTCCCTGGCGAGGGACGGATCAAAGGGAAGGCCCCTCCCGAGGAGGAGGAGGTAAGAGGGAGGAGGGGGAGGCGAAGAGGGGGGAGGAGGACACTCCCCCACATGTTCGGGATGGGCAAAACAATCAGAAAACTAGGCCGGGGGGAGGGTGCGTACCTGGGTGGCGACCCCCCCCTGGACCCCCCCCTCGGGACTCGGGCTATCGATGAGAATCGTATCCAAGAGTAGATATGGGTGATAATCAAGTATCAGTCGTCAGAGAAAACATTCAGATATCTTTGATGTCTTTTCCTCTAACCCAAACGGCTATAGAACGTAACAAAACAGCAGGCAGGCAGGCAAGAGCTTAGCCTAGAAACCATACTTTGGGACGAATCGTCCGGGGCTCCTAAGAGGCTCTTTACAGGACCCGCTGGAGAAATTGCTAAGGCCTTACGGCCAGTGCCGCCGACGTTGGATAGTTCGGCCCTCGAGGGTGACGGGATGCGTGATACGACGTCGGAGGTCAATGAAAACGTGGCGGAGGAGGAGGCGGAGGAGGAGGAGGAGGAGGAAGAGGAGGATGAGGAGGGAGGAGGAAGTGGAGCAGGAGGAGGAGGCGGAGGAGGAGGAGGAGGAGGAGGAGGAGGAGCGGAGGAGGCGGAGGAGGAGGAGGAGGAGCAGGAGGAGGAGGAGGAGAGGAGGGAGGAGGAGGAGGAGGGAGGAGAGGGAGGAGGAGGAGGAGGAGGGGAGGAGGAGGGGAGGAGGAGGAGGAGGAGGAAGGAGGAGGAGGAGGAGGAGGAGGAGGAGGAGGAGAGGGTTGTGGCCGAAGGCGGTTTGAAGACCTCAGGTGGTCGCATTCCCGTTACCGTGCCGACCCCTTGCGCTGCCCCACGGGCCGCTACCAATTTTGTTCTCCAGCCCTCACTCTACATCGCGAAAAGATTCAAGGAGCCAGCCTGGCACCGCAGACAAAGGGCACGACGGGGGCAGTCCAGGGTCCTCTTGTGTCTGCACAAAGCTGCACAGTGCTTAGACCGCCATCACGCCAGCCCCAGAACCCTGTCTGGACGCATGGCCTCGCGGTCGGATCAGCAAAAATGGGTATGTCAGTGCGGAAAACATGTGAAGCCATGGCATTGGTTCTGTGCCTGTGGCAAGCCATATCAGCAGAGACGACGTCAGAGAAGCTCCTCTTCCCACCGTCAAATTGCGGCGCACGACAGAGCTGCGCAACAGTATATCAGCAAGGTGGTGCCCGCCTCCATGCTTCTGGCCGAGGCCCACTGCGACTGGGACAAGTGGAAGCCACCGAACGACAGCACACATATCAGCTCGTACAAGAAGAGGGTCAAGGAGCGTCAGTTCACCCTTGCGAAGCTTGCCGTCGCTGCGAAGTTGGCCAACAAGTCAGATCTCTCAGAGCACGACGAGATTGCAATGCTAGAGTATTGCCTGTCCGTCCTCAAACCCCTGGGGGACCAGCTTGCGGATGCTCGGTCTCGGAAGAACAAGTTAGAGCAGCTACTCAGGGACACCATCAACAAGAGGAAGGAGCTCGAAATGAAAGAGATCGAGCTCGAATACCAAATCCAAGACGCCAGATCGATGGAGCAGGACCTGGAACAGCAACTCCAAGAAGAAGAAGAGCTTGTACAATGTCACGGGCCGCAACGTGTCTCGATGCGGCAGGCTCAGATGGAGGTCCAGGAAGGAGGCTTCGCGGACGGCCCTACGACGAAGAGACCGTCACCGCCGCCTCCGCCAGGCAGAGAAGCCTCGAGGACCCATATGGTGGACGTGTTGGTTGGGATGTGCCAGCACACACACCTACAGGGCCACCCGCTCCCAAGTACCCACCTGGTGGTGCACCGCCCATCAATGCGAAGCTCTCCTACGACCCGCAGCAGCAGCTCACCATCGCCACAGCGATCCAGGCCATGATGTCTCGCCAAGACCAGATGGAGCAGTCCTTCGCCCAGTTCCAGAACACCATGGCGGCCATGATATCGGGCGCGTCACGTCCTTCCAGTTCGGGGTTTCGTGCTGCTGGAGGGGAAGCTCGCCCGCCTGGTCCAGCTGGCCCCTCACGTATGGAGGCCCCGCCGCGGTCTGCAGCCAGCATCGAGGTGCCCATCGCTCCACCTGCGAAGCCGCGACCTACAAGCCGGCCCCCGACGCCGAGAACGGCGTCGCAAGTGGAGGCAGCCATCATCAGCGCGGTCAATCCGACGCCTGGCACAGAGTCCTTCGCGGATCAGCTCAGGAAGCAGATGATGAAACGCGTCCCCACCGCGGCCACTGGAGAAGACTTTCCTGGTCCGACACAGATGTGGGCTGCCCCAGAGACCGAGCCCATATCCAGTCAAATGGTCGCGCCCACCCAGCCTGTCAGCAACACGCAGGAGGACGTCTTCCTGCCTGGCCCGCCGCAGACGATCACGGAGCAGATGATCATCGTGGAGGACGCGTCGGGGCACACCCAGGAGTTCAGAGGTCCCCGCGGCAAGGCCAAGACGGGGGCGCGTGCGTCAGAGGGCGGCTCGGGGGACACGCCGCCGCACAAGTCCAACATGCTGCCAAGCATGAAGGAGCTCTGAGGCACGCGGCAGCTTTAGCGCCCCAGTTGAGTACAAAGATCCGCACGGCGAGACGGGTATCATTCGCCCCTGCGGAGCAAATTTCGGTCGCCACTCTCGATGCGCGGCTGCGCCAGCGTCTTTCTCATCCTCCTCCGCCCTCTTGCTTGCAGTCATCCGCTTGCACCCCCTGTCGTGCTCACGTCGGGCAATCCACGTCTGAGCGGCAGGAGATCAGTATAATTTCTGCAGGCGTGCTCTCAGCCTCGTTTGATCAGCGAGACAGGGATAGTTCTCACAGAATTCATGGACAAGGAAGCCTCCAAGCGGGCGGGGGGCGCCCAGCTGCTGAGGCCACAGGGCCCGCGCCAGGTACCTCGCGGACGCTATCTGTGCATGACCCCGCCCCCTCTGCGCCGGACCAGGTTGACGACCCCGCCCCGACGGCGCCCCCCCCCCCAATTGGTCAGGGCTGCAGACTTGGGAACTTCCAATCAAGGGGATCTGGCTGTGCGTTCTCTGGTCTCAGCCTCCATGCCTGTGCTTTGTTCTTTTCCTATTCTTCCGCCACTCAGGGGGGCTCTTCGGCAGGGCGAGGCACTTGCTCTGGAGCAGCTCACACTTACACAACTCGAGGCGACGGGGGTCCTCGAGGATGAAGCCAGGCTGGGCCTGACGCTTTGCCCGCCGAGAGACGGCGCGTGGCACTGCATCCGCCTGTGTACCGACGGCTCGCTCTTCACCAAAGGGGAGGGGAAGGGGGCATGGGCAGTGGCAGTCATTGGGGAGGATGGGGAAGGAGAGTCATTTCTTGGAGTACTGCGCGGTGACATCACTAGCGCTACTAGCATGCGACTTGAGCCATGCGCCAGCGCGAGTACCACAACTGAGGTGGTCGCTTTAACGCACGCGTTGTTTTGGATAGTCGGCAATCGGCCGAAGTGCCGTGTCAGCATCTCATCGGACTCATTGCTCGCCATAGGGGCCACACAGGGAGGGAAGGTACCTTTGGCCGACAGAGCAGTGGGTGATTTCCTGCGTGCAGTGTTTGAATATGCTCAGGGGGAGGCACATTTCGACATTCGGCATGTTAAAGCTCACAGGGGGCACATTTGGAACGCGCTTGCGGATAACATCGCCAAGGCCACCGCGTTTGACAAACTTTGTGCCCCCCCCCGAGTCACCTCGTCACCTCGTTGAGGCATTTCAATGCCAGAAGTCCCGCCAGTGGGGGTGGATGCTTGCGCGGGGCCCTGACGCCGATGCCTACCCTGAGATAGGCTGGTCGGGCGATGGGGCCACGTTGCGAGGTGCACCCCCGCAATTTCGGGTTGACCAGGCTGCTTTGTCAAGGTGGCAGCCCAAGCCCCCCTTCATGATCTCAAAGTTCAAGTTCAACTTCGGGTCGCCACTTTCAATCCTCAAAGTGTGCGAGATGCGCATCGGAAGGGGGGAAAAGGTCAACGGCGATTTCATCGTATCAACCTAGTGAAGGAGCAGTTTCATGACATGGGGGTGGCCCTAGTAGGAATACAGGAGTCACGCGACGAACAGCAGCTGAAAGGGGTTGCAGGAAAGGTGCACCTTAGGTTTTCTTCGGGCCACGAGGGGCACAACCTGGGCACGGAGCTCTGGGTTGATATGTGCGTTCCCTGCGGTAAGATTCAGGGGAGGGACGCATTCTTCGCGGCTCGCCACTTTTTAGTCTTGCACGCCGAGCCGCGAGTGCTGATAGTTAAATGCAGTGCCCCAGGTGTCATGTGCAACATATGTGTGGCACATGCCCCGCATCGAAGGCATCCTCTTGCCGCTCGCGTCGAGTTCTGGGGGCATCTGGGGCGCCTTGCAGGGAAGTGGCTTTTTGGACTCACCCTCCTGGACGCTAACCGTGCACTCGGGCCAATAACTTCCCCCTTTGTGGGAGGCGCAGGTTTCGTTGAAGAACAGGATGAGAGTGGTGAGCTCATGCACGCCTTCCTGCATGAGCATGCGCTCCAGGCTGCCAATGCATTTATGGTGAGGGGACTTGGAGCCACCTTCACGTCCAAGGGCACAGGACCCTGCAGGATTGACTACATACTTCTAGGTAGCACCCTTGGCCAGCATCTAGCGTACACTAAGGTGCTCCATGACATGGACCTTATGAGGGATCACGAAGATCATTTTCCTGTTTTAGCTGTTCTTGAGCGGGGTGTGGTCTCCTCCGTTGCCAAAGCTGGATCCTCGCCTCTTGATCGGCGCAAGGTAGCTGACCCGCAGTGTATCAAGGAATTTCAGTTCGCCATAGACAGGTTTGTGCTAGACTCATGGGAGACCGACACCAATGACCAGCTTTCTCGCTCACTCGAGTTCATTAACGAGCAAGCCACTCGGTGTTTTCGTCGTGACCGCGTGCGGGTGCGCCGTCCCTACATCTCGGACTCGCTCTTCGCCCTCGTTCGGATTTGCCGCTCGATCCGTAAAGTCCTCTACCAAGTTAGGGTGAAAGGTCTTCCTGCCCTGGTCGCACGTCTTTTCCATTGCGCAACGCATTCGCTCAGGGGACCTCCTCGAGCATGCCAGTGCTATTCTTCAGCACGGGGACACGGAGCTGGCTGGGGCTCTCCTCGGGCCATGGTTGATGCGTCACACCGCTGCGCAGGACTTTACGTGGGAAAGAATTGAGGCCAGCGGCTTCAGCACATCGCTGGCCAGTTTTATGCGTGTCAGTGCAGACATCCAACGGCGCAGGGTGGGGGAGGACTATGATCATTTCCTTGTGCAACAGGGGGCAGGCACTCGTGCTGCCATTGACGGCTCGTTGCCACGGCTGGAATGGAAACGGGTTCGCACTTTGTTAACCTTTGGGGGGAAGAAACCGAAGAAGGCTGCCCTTTTCCCTCTTCGCAGAAGTGCCGATGGGTGTGTTCTTGAAGCGGCCCGAGATGCTGCCAATGATCTTCAGGCCCACTTCGGCTCTGTCGAATTCGGCATTCCCATGACAGCTCAAGAAGTTGTCGCCGCGTACGAGGACGGGCAAATGCTTGATGCCCACGCCCCACGCATCCTCGAACACCGTATCTCCCGCTCCGACCTCCAGCGCCTCATTGCTTCCGTCCCGTCGGGCAGTGCCGCTGGCCCTGGAGGGGCTTCCTACGAAGTTCTGAAAAAAAGCCCCCGCTGGGTGCGCTCGCATCCTTCACCCAGTTTTGTTAAAAGTTGGTTTGGGGGGTAAGGAGCCCATTGTTTTCAAGGAAGGGGAAGTTATCGACATCAGTAAAGGTGGTGAGTGTGCGGCTTTTGCGGCCAACAGAAGGAGCATCTTGCTCGGCAACACTGTGGGAAAACTGCATCATCGGTTTCTCAAGGGACTCCTTAACTCTGTCATCGCAGGAGGATTACAAGACTGTCAGTGTGGGGGGCTTGCAGGGAGGAGTACTGACTTCGTCGCGCATTTTGTAACTAGTCGCCTGCTTGCCCAAGATGTGGACAACATTTCGGCCTTTGCTCTGGGCATCGACCTCAGGGCCGCCTTTTACACCGTCTTACGGCAGACTATCATGAGGCTCCCGTTCGAAGAAGAAGATTTCCAAAAGGCCTTGGCATCCTTGCCCATGCATCCTGCTCTCGCCTATGCGGTGCGCAATATCGCCTCCTCACCTGCCGTTGACTCTCTGCTCAGTGATGACCATCTTTATCGCTTGTTCGCAGAAACACAGACTCACGGCTTCTGGCGTGTGAGAGGCGCGGATGGCTTTGTCCGTCCTATGCTCGGGTGTAAACCAGGCACTGTCCTCGCCACGGATGTGTTTAATCTTGGATTCGCCCCTCTCATCGTCAAGATTCAACATTTGTTCTCAGAGGCTGAGTTGGGTTGGGCCCCACCTGCGGAGACGCCTCGGGTCTTCGCGAGTGAAGGTGACGACTACATAAAGCAGGACATGGGAGCCTTTGTTGATGATTTAACCTTGGTAGGCTCCTCTCCTACCCCCGCGCTGCTGCAGGAACGGGCTGCCGCGGCTGCGGTCATTGTTGAGCGCGTGGTTTATGAGGCTGGCCTGCGACTCAACGTGGCCAAGACCTTTTTCCTGTTGAGGCCCGCAGGACCTGGAGTCCGTGTCGCCGAGAAGGTCACATGGAAGAGGGGGGCCATCATTGCCCTTCCCTCGGGAGAGGAAGTCGCCAGTAAAAGAACAATCAAGTGTCTTGGGACTCTGGTCAATGACAAAGGGTCTTTTGACACGGTGGTCGCTAGTCGGACCGCTCGGACCAGGGGTGAAACCAGGGCCATCCAGCGTGCCCTTGGGGGCCGTGATGGCATGCCGGTGTGTAAACGAATTCAGTGCGCCGAGGCTTTCGCCCTCTCCCCCTTGTACTTCAACGTTTGTATCTGGTCGTCGTTGTCGAGTCGTTCTCTGAAAAAGCTTCGGAACGCTCAGGTGTCTCTCTTCAGGGGCGCTCTTGGGATGTCGTCGGGAAACCATGGTGGGCTCCATGTGTCTAACAGTGACGTTTTAGTAATGGCCGATAGGCTCGATGTCAGCACTGTACTTCGTGTTGCTAGGCTTAAGTATCTGCCCAGGCTCCTGCAGAAGGCGCCCGCGGGGCTCCTGCGAACCCTCGACTTCCTGTATGACAGGATGCAGGGGTGGCCGATGCTTTTAACCGATGGCTGTGTTTGGATGAACAGGTTCAGTAAGAAACGGGAGGTGCCAGGAAGGGGATCCTTAACATGTTGGATCGGCGCGTGCAGGAGTAATCCGCGTGGTTTCAAGACGCACATGCGCAATGTTGCCTCACGTGCGCTTTTTTGGCAGAAGCACGAGGCTAGGCTTTGTCGCAGCACCAAGATATGCCAGACCGTTCTTGATGGTTCCGTTTGGAATTTGACCACAGAAGAGGCCGACTCACATTTGACGCCACATTTCATCTGCTATGAGTGTGGCTTCGTTTCTGAGCAACGTAGGACCATGACCATGCATCTAAACAAGGTTCACAAACAGGACGA